TTCTGCTTTACTTACTGGTGATCAGATCCATGCTCTGCCCAGCAGCACAGCCTTGTCAAAGGTTGGATGTGATATTCAGCAAATGGAAGAGTCATTATTGCTGGCTCAGTTGTAGACTAGCTGGACAAAGCTCCTGGTAGATAAGAGTAATGAGACAATTTGCTGTGGGTGACAGCTTGCTCCAACACCTGGTGGAATCCAAGCTTTTTCAGCCTTTATTTGGAGGCTTGCCCAAAAGCCTGTCAGGACTACAGTAATACTCTTACTCTGCACTGCAGGGAACTTAATTTGTCTCTGGATGTCAGATTTTGGGGAGAGTTAAGCTAACAACTTCTGAGTTATGGGGTGGGTTGATGCACTATTAGAAGGACTTTCATCTCCCTAGTTCTGCTTCTTTTAAAAACCAATTCTGTAATTTGAATTTTGTGAATTTCATCACTTTCTTATCCTAAAGGAAGCAATGTGGGAGACTTGATTGCTTCCTCTTCTGTTTCTGCAGATGGTGATGTGGTAAATGTAGCCAAGCTCCTCTCTACCTAGGAGACTTTCTCCCCTGAGGAGCAGTCCCCTTTTGCTGGACATGCTTACAGAAACTGCACAGCCATGGACCTCAAGGAGAAATGTCAGGTAGGTTTGCTGATAACAGTCACACTGAACTAAAGTGATGAGTCCTTTTAAATGTCTTTATTATTTTGGGTCAAGATTCACCTGGTGGCATTATTATATAGTGGTATAATCCATGGTTAGTTTTGAAGTTGAGAGTTGTGTCACCTTCACATCCCTGTGTCAGCAGGGAAATCTTTTACAGGGTGGGACTGAGGCACCACGGTGGAACAACACAGGTGGGGTGTCCTCTGTCACACCTGCAGTGTCTTTTGAGATCTAAGCTGGGCCTCCATTCCCATGGACCCTCAACTTGGCTTTTCTTAAAAGGCTGAATTCACTTAAAGATTTTTTAAATAAACCAGAGCAATGAAATAGTCTGAGTTCAGTTTTGCTGATGATAACTTGGGGTCTCAGCCAGCTCTGGTGAGAGAACAGTCTTGGCTTTTCCCTCTGGTGTCCCTTTCCCCACCACACCTGAGCTTTTGTTGGCTGTCTCTGTTTTCTCCATGCATCCCTTCCTTCCTGTTTTGTTTGCAGCAGTGAGAAATGGTTTTGTTCATTAGTGCAAAATACCTGTTAGGGATTCACCTAGACCACAAGATACTACAGCAGTGTAAGGTCAGTTTTTCACATCAGCTGTGACACTTACCTGCTCAACTGCTTCTTTGCTGGGTTTCTGCTCTGAGCTGTGCTAGACCAGGAAAGCCTGGGCTGACTCCTGCCCCAACCTTTTGCTTCTGGAGTGCTCAAAGGTCACGTTTGACCTATGTAGTTTTATATCAAATAGCTTTATTACCATGGAGTTAATATTCAAATGAAGACAATTATCTACTTGTTCTCTTGTTAATGACATCATGGGCTAATCTGGTATTGATCATTTTAAGAGATGATGCAATTACCACTGTGTGGAGGGGTATGTTCTGTGTAGGATCTGAGAGCACCAAAGAGAGCAGGGCATAGTGGGGACACTTTCACTGTAGGTCACTATATTTGGCTCACCTTTCTCATATGACATTCTCCATTGTACAGTGCAGGAAGATCATATCAAATTGCTGGACAGGCAGCAGCATGGACAGCATTGTAATAGACCTTTAAAAGGCCTATTAGGAAAGTGTCCTGACAAGGAGGTTAACAGGGGGAATTATGGTGTTCTCAAGTCCTAACCTCCTCTCCTGTCTTCTTGAAATTTTTTCTCCCTCCTTTCTGAATGGGTATTAAAACTGAAGGTGAGAGATCACAGTCTTTTAAAGAGGAATGAAAAAAACCCCAGAGATACATAAAACTGCATTTTACAACTTTGTTTGGATTCTGAGGAAAGACCATGATTTTATACTTGTTAGCAGGGGGCCTGGAGCTAGATGATCTTTAAGGTTCCTTTCAATCCAAACCATTCTGTAATTTGGTGCTAAGGAGTTTGCTCTTTTTTTTTTAATACTGCAGATCCTTGTTCCACCCCATCTAAGGTGGAATCCATCTTCCTTCCCAAAGTGAAGAACTTGGACACATAAGGGAACAAACCTGCTTTGTAACCTCAGCAGTAAGTTTGATGTGCTAGGTTTATTTTAAAATGCTAAAAATAAAATGAACCCCCATGAAAACATCAGTCCCAAATCTGGCTGAAAGGAATCTCTGCAATGTACGTGTGTGATGGAGAGTTAGTACTCCTGGAGTAGGAGATGTGCTCAGAGCACTGCTGCAGCACAGACATCTGTCACTCAGTTGAGAGACTTGTCCTCTGGCTCCAGTTGGCTGGTAAGTTCCCATGTCAGGAATGGCTGAGGATTAGAGTGTGTCAGGTGTACTGCAGGCTGCCTTCCAGTTTTTGCCAGAAGCCAGACACCATAGAGAAAGGCAGAGAGTGTTCTTTTTAAATTAAATGTGCTGATATCTTGTTCTTTCTCCTCCTCAGACTTCTTAATTTTCTGTGTGTTTCTGAAGTGAGTTTAATCCTTCTGAAAGGTTCCAGAATCTCTGCTCCAAGACCTCTCAGCACATACCAAGAGAGCAGCACTGATTACCACAGGAGAGTGAGAGGCTTCTGAGTTTGGGTTGCTTTAGACAGAGGCTGGATTTGCAGCCACACAACTAATAAAAATTATTGACATCATTCATTCCACAGTTACCCATAACAACTGAGCTGTATTGTCCCAATGTAATTGCTGCAGCCTGGATACTGCACTGTGCCTCCTGGCCAGACAGAGCCTGGAAACAGGTTCAGGAAGACAGTGCTGTCTGTGCTCCACATTGCTCCAGCTCCAGCACTGTTGGTCCTTGTTCCAGGTTGCCTAACAACAGCTACAGTCCTACCTTTGGACTGAAAAGTAGCCCAAGTCCTTTGCCACTTCTCATCCTGCCAGTGACTACGTCTGTGTTTATTCCCTGTTGTTCTCTAAAAGCTCAGCTCTTCTTCCAAGTGCTTTTTCACAAACTGATCCTTTTTTCACAGGTGTCTCTCATTTACACTGCATATTTTGTATAGGTCAGTCTTTGCCTTTATACTCAGCCTTCTAGTTCAAGTCCCAGTTTTATCTTCAGATCCCAAGTTTTTGTCTTCTGCTCTTTCGTTATATTATTTAATGCACAAATGCACATCCAGATGCAATTTCTGATACCAGTTGATATCAGAAGGAAGCTAGATAATACAAATTACTGCCCTACACAAAGCACTTTAGAGCAAGGTCTCTCAGCAGTGGGGTAAGCAAGAAGTATCAATTTGATCCAATGCCATTTGTGTCCATGACCAATGTTGGAGTTTTGAGGCTGGGATCTCTTAACTGCATGAAGCACAAGGATTGATCCTGGTATTGCACAAGCAAGTTGTTTTATTCACTTTCATTCAAAGTCTCCAACAGGTACAAAGCCATGGGAAACAAATCAGCAAGCACTGTAATAAAAAAGAGGTCTTACAAGCATGTTGTATGAGGGTTTGTCTGCTCTTACCCAGTCCTGTTGTTGATCTTTTATTTTTTCTCTCATTTTTCCTTGGTGTTGAAAGGAGTAGATGAGTAGTTCCTTAGGAGGCAGGAAAGAAAAATTGGGCCATTAGTATGTTTTCTTTTTTTTTCAGTATAGAATTGTTGTCTAGGAAACAAAATGCCCTACAGAAGGATAAAGGATGTTTTCCCTCTTTCTCTCTTCTGCTTTCTCCTGAAGTTACATTAAATAATTACATAGTGTCTGCTTCCCTTCAGCTTTGTCTCTGTGTGCTTTGTGAGATTACACACCCATGTGTAACTCAGTGCCAATACACAGGTGATAACCAGACCCTGTGTTGAATTTATTGTGAATATTGAGGCTGCTTAATCTCTGCCCTTCTTGCTTAAAATGCAGAATATGGGCTGTGCCTAATGAGGCATTTGAACCTCAGAAAAGGAAAGGAAAGGAAGTGAAGAGTTTGTCCAGGTAGGGTAGATGAGTCCTAACATCTGTATATGGTCTTCAGAGCTGCACAATATGCTGAGACTGGAAGCCTCGGCAGTGCCTGTCCTGTCTGGTACCAGGCAGCTGTAATCCTTGGCAAGCTCTTGAGGTGGTGTTTGCCTGGGCCAGTTCTTTACCCCTTTCTGTGTGGAATGAAAGCAGTTGTTTTAGTGATTGCTCTGCAGAACTAGGAAGCCCCAGACAGAATTAGGACAGCACTGAAGTAGGAGCTAAATAAAAACTCACCTATAAAGGTGCATCCCTGCAACAGATTAGAATGAGAGAGAAGGCTCATTCCTTCTTCACCTTTCTATTCCCTTGTTTTTCCACCCGGCCCTGCCCTGTCTACACTTATCCTTTGCCTCCTGTTTACCATGCCCAGGTAAATGTGGAGCCCCAGGAATGGCTATGGTGAATTTATGTGCACCTTTTAGTTCAGATTGTGTGGCTCAGGATGAATATGGGATACTGAGAGGGGCTTTTGCAGCATTCTTTATCAAAAAGAGAAGAGGGAGAGAACACTTCAGATGGGACCTCTAACCATCTCAACTTGCTTAAATAACAAATATTTATATTTTTTAATTGAGCTTGATTCCAAAGCTGTGGAGTCATCTGTGGGGCAGTTAGTATTCCAGGGTCTCTTGGTCTCAATTTTTCCATGCCTACTCAGGTGTTCTTCCCGTAGTGTATTTTATAGCACTTTGTCCTACCTAATTTGCCATCTGCTTTTGCACAGACCCCTGTCTGTCAGCATCATTCCTTCCTGTGCATGCATATGGAAGTGAGCCCAGGGATCCTCACTGTGTCGGCTCCATCTGATGAATGAACTATTCTCAGAGACATCTGGTGCTATCCAGGGCAAACTTTCTTCCCTCTCTGCTTTTTTCTCCCCCTATTTCCATCCCTCATCCTCCCTCATCCCCCACCCCCATCCGCCGCCTCCTTGCTGGATCTGCAGTGTGACTGGAAGCAGGCTGAATTAATCAGCAGACTGGTGCTTCACTCTGCTGCTTCTGTCTCATTCTCTGCAGCGCTGGGCTCTGCACAATCTTGCTCCCTCTCCCTCTCCCTCTTTGCTCTGTCATTTTTGGAGAGCAGCAGCAGTGCAAGTTGCTGGGGAAGTGGTGCAGGAATTTAGCCCAGATGCTCTTCAAACAGGCTGATCTCTGGATCCCCCACCAAGGCAAATGTCGCAAAGTAAGTTCCTCTCCCTTAACATTTAATTTCAAAATGGCTTTCCCTGTCTCCCTCTCCAGTCTGCATCCTGCCTGATGTGATGGGGCATGAAGAGCTTTGAGGTTTTGGGGGAAGGAGGTTATGGCAGGACATGAAACAGAGAGTGATGGTTTAGCTAGGGAATAGCTTGTTTTTGGCAGTGACGGGGGAAAGAAACTGTTTTAAACTGCAGTTTTAACCCCAGGACTAATAGGAAGATCCACACAGGATTTTAACTGCTGACTCCTGCTCTGCTGCCCCTCTGCTTCATGGCTTAAATTTGTCTGTTGCTTCTATAGGCTTTGATCTGTAACTGTTGAACCTCCTTATCCCTGTGGGATCTGTCCGGCAGTGTACCTGCCAGGCTGGATCATCACTTTGGTTCCCAAAGTCTTCAGCTGAAGAAGTGGGGATGGGAAGGAAACTATCAAGGGGATGAAAGATGTACTGAAGTTCTGTGTATTTCTGAGCATTGCTGGCCTCTGGAGGGGGGGCATTAGCATTCCTTGGAGGGAGCTCTGCACTGGCATAAAGCTCTGCTGTGTGTTGAAGCCAGGATAAATACAGACTCCTAGCTGCTCTCTGAACTAACTTGGAGGAGTAATGCAACTGGCTAAATTACAGTAATTAAAGCTTAATAATTGTATAGTGCTTCAAAACACTGCATAAATCCTGTCTCTTCCTGCCAGCAGCCTGGTGGGACAGGTAACTATGGGTGGGGATTTGTTGCTCCAAACAGGATTGAAGGGACGGACAGAGGAATGTACAATTCCAAACTGGGCTGTTTCCACAGGAACATTTGCCTCTTTCCCTGCTGCTGGGCTGCTGCTGGGGAGAAGCAAAGTGCTGGTCTTTGCATGACCTATGTAGAGAGGTTGATTGTGCCTGTTGGCATCTTTACTCCGTGCTTTACAGAGAGTATAAAATGTGGATGCTGTTGCATGGATTAAAATGGACCCTGTGCACAGCAAAGTGCATCAGTGATTCAGGCTGGCGAGTGCTGCTTTGGCCACATCTCAGAGCTCTGTGCTCCTGCAGCTCTGTCTTTTTGCAGGGGGAATCTGCAGGCCCTGTTAGCGAACCTCAAAGCATCCACACTGGAGCCCCTGCAGGCACCCAGTTACCCAGCTGGGGGGTTCTTTTGTCCAGGGGCAGCGGGAGGTCTGGGCTGCCTTTCATCCTGGGCTGCATGGGGCAGGGAGGAGACAGTTGCTGCCTACTGCTCGCTCCATTAACTTGGGCACTGCTGTGCTGAAGACTCTGCTTGTTTCACTTGATTTGAGACCACCAACAGCTAAAGCTGAGGCTGCCAAGCTAATGTCAGGTGCATTCAAACCAAGTTTAATAGCTGTGTTCCTCATGCCTTCTGGTGCTTTTCCCAGCATGTCCAGGTTTAAAGGCAGTGGTTCCCACAGAGCATGGTCTGCTTGGTGGAGCTGCCTGAATTGTGCAGATATCAACATACTTTTTCTTTTTCCTGAGCTTTCCAGTAGCATTCATGTGGGCTGGTGAATGTTATAATCTTCACAATTACAACAGTTGGTGGGGAGTTGGTAGCCCCATCAAAGAATGAGAAACTAAGGCACAGAGGAGTATCTGATTTTCCCACTGTCATGCAGAAACCAGTGGTAGAAGGAATTAGAGAATCCAGCTGTCCTGACTGTCCAGAGTCTTTTTCAAAACTTCATCCTATGGGCTAGGAATGTGTCAGGGGGGATGGTCGATTTAGCCTGGGTCAGTAGAGAAACATTCTTGCCTGGACTCAGGGAGTCTGATCTCTTAGAAAAAGTAACCAGGAGAGCACCAAGACAGAAAGCAAGACTGGGACCAAGGATGGGGTAATAAAGGGAAGTTTCTGCCCTGACTGACTGATGGGTTGGCTCTGCTGGTTCCATCTGTGTCACTCTGTAGCAGGGATGAGCCATTTCAGGCAGTCTGTGCACTAAGTCAGCAGCTGCAGGTGTATAGGAGCTGTAGCATCCTGATGGGTGGTTTGCTTTAGAACAAGAATAAATCACTCTCTAACACTAGGCTGCTGTATGAAATGCTATCTGAAGAAAGTGTGTGTTTGTCATGTATATGATGACTGTCATCCTCTCTGATCAGACCCAGAACCCCACTTTGTGCCATATTGTGACTTACCCTAAACAAGAATCCAACTTACAATAATAAATGCAAATATATTTGGTACTCCTTATTTTGTGTTTTTGAACCTGTGAATAATGCTTACATTTCAGGAGGTGTAATCCTTGAAGTAGATTAGTCACCTGCAAAGTGTCATTGTTAAATTAAAAACTGCCTTCTTTTTCTGCTAAGGAATGCAAAATAGCTGTCAGAAAAAGGAAGAACATTTTGCTGCCCAGTTTCCCACCTCCAGCTGTTCAGATCTAAAAAGCAATTGAGTAAAGGTGTTATAAAAGGAGCCTAGTGAGTGCAGCCTGGAAAGAGGGAAACAGTCTGCAGGGGTTTTCAACCACTCTGAATCAGAGGGATGGATCTGCAGTCTATGAGAATTGAGACTTGAAGCAAATATTTTGTATTCTGTTCACTTATTTACTTAAACAGTCTTTGCAAAGGCAGTTACACTCAAGTGTACAGCAGTTTTCATGAGAATCCCTTATTCTGCAAGGGACTGAATCCACAGAGGATGGAGGATGATTCAACCCACTTTGCTCTGGAAAGCAGGGAATATTTGTGTTCCTGTATTATTAAAGAAATATTTGGCACATATTACATCAACATTTGCTGGTACAACAAATAAATATGCTACTATGGTTGTGTAATGGCTATGAAAAAATATAAGAGGACTTAAATACAATATTTTGTGTCCATTTCTCTGTACACATTCTGGGATCTAATTCTTTGTTTCTCTGGAAAGAAGCTGCAAGACCTCTGTCTTTCATCAGGTAGCAGAGAGTGTGAGATGGCTGATAAACTTCTAAGGTAATTTTAAATGGTTCTAGGTGTAAAAGAACAAGATTGGAATTTTAGGAAGAGAGCTCAGTGGCGAATTTGTATGAGGATGGAGGTGGGCTGCAGGAAGCAGACATGGGTAGGTGGTGTTGCTTGGGAACAACTTCATGTTGTGGGAGAAAAAAATCAGAAAATAACCACACTTTTCCTACCTATCAGCCTGAAAATGCTCCTGCAACCCCTGAGAAAGGCAAGGAAAACCTATTTGCCATGAGCCAGGCAAGGCTATGGATTTAAATAAACTCCTGGGTATTTTACAACTTATTTACCCCTGTCAAACTCTGGAGGGTCAATTGAAAGGACAAGGCAAAGAAGAGTCTAGAGATTCTGTTACTCCTCAACTCCTGCCTCTGAGCTGCCTCTTGTTTCCTTCCTGAAGAGCCAAACCAGCCCCTAACCCTGGGCATTTGCAAGATCTGTCTCAGGTTCCCTTTTCCTAATGTTTTCAGGCAAGCTAAGCAGTAATTTAACATGTAGAATATTTACTATGAGTGGAGAAATTCACACATCTTTTTGTGTTCCCATCTAGTCCACACTTCAGCACATTCATTGCCTTTAGAAAATAAAATCACATGCACAAAGGAAGTGTCCTGCACTGTTTTTCCTCTAACAGCCATCCCATAGATCACAACTCTGGAGAACCCTGATACCACCCCAAAGCAGAAGGTTGCAATCATCCCCTTTTTACCTGGCTCCAGCTATGAGGCTGGGATGGCCAGGGCAGGGGTCAGCTCCAGAGGAGCCCTTAGTGCACTTAAAAGCTCCTGTGCTCTCCAGGGCAAAGGAAGAAGCAACTGCTCATTTTGTCCTTAGGATTTTTTGCCTTTAGGCACAGGCAAAAAGAAAGTACAGCCTTTTAAAATGCCTTCTGATACCCATCAGGGGTTTGCTTTCACTGTAAACTGGAATTTACTGCCTGCTCTTTCTTTGTTGTTCTTCAGAGGAAGCCCTATGCTAAGGCAGCTGGGTGGAAAGGTGTCTTGCTGTTTCTGTTTGGACCGGAAAATTAGCTGCTCTCTCTTTGAGCGTAACTTTCCAAAGCAAAGATGTGAATGTTGAGGTTTTTTATTAATGAACTGACACCTCCTGTGAACGGCTTCTTCACCCTGGGGTGCTCTCTTCCTGGTTTGTGGCAGGAAGAGCACTTGCAGCTGATGAAAGGCTGGAAAGGTTTACTTAAGGGCATTTGAAAAATGCCTTATTAGCAGTTGATGACTTAGCAGGGCATCGTTTTGAAAACCTGGAGCTGCCCCTTGCCAGGAGCTCATGGTGGCTCTTCTTGCCTGCCCCTTTCATTTGGGTCCCAGGCTCTTTCCCCTGGTGCTCACCCGCAGCAGGTTACCCCAGTGCCCCCAGCTACCCTCACTCAGTATTACAGTGTTTGTTTACCAGATTGGCTCTGCCTCCTTTTCCAAATGCTCCATGTTCCAAGTGTCAGGATAGGTGTTTAACAATTCCTGCCCTTCCTGCTCTTCCTCTTCCCCAGCCTGCCACACTGCACTTGTCCTTTGTGACCTGCTACAGCCACGTTCCTTTGTGGCTGCCCTTATCTTGACTGACACTGTGCCAAACTGGTAACTCCTGTGTAAAGTCTCGAGCAGGTGTGCAAGTGTTTCAGGAACCTTTTTAGATTACTTCTGGGTTTGCTGCCTTTTTGTGCTAACTGCCTGCAGTGTCTGTGCAGTGGCATTTTCTCTTTCCAGGCACTGTGTGACTGTAGTAGATGTTGTGCAGCTTTCCTCTTATTACTTCTGTAGCTCTTGATGAGTCCATTGGAACCAGCTCAGTGTCTAAGCAGACTTTACTTTTCAGTTCAAGTCCCTATTATTTTTGCTGCCTTTCATTCTGTGTGTTTTATTTATCTGTCTGCTTTCCCCATGTTGGAGAGGATTTATACATCTGTGGGTGCCTTGCTTTGCCCTAGACAGGCAGCAGTCAGACAAGAGAGAGAAGCCTGATTGTGCCTTGCTCAGTGGTGTTCTCAGACACTCCTGTTTGCAGCACTCTGTGGTGCAGCAGCATGGCTGGTGCCAGCTCCACTGCCATCTTCTCCTCTGGGAGTCTTTGAGACACTCCTATGTTTAGTTCTGTGCTGATGTTACCTGGGCTGCTTCCAAGAACAACACAGAACTGCTTCCTCTATTCTTAAAACTGACACAGAGAATGAAAACTGCAGCAGGATTATTTTTAGTTCTGTGAAAGTGCAGCTGAAGCAGCATTGCTGGACTCTGGCTGGACAGAATTTGCTGTTTCAGGTTGTCTCTGATAGGTGGGGAGAGTGTGTGTGGTAGATGGTATTTGAAAGAGAATTTATATTCTGTTCAACACTGTTATAGTTTTGGATTGAACCATCAATGCAAATGAGTCTGAAGTCCAAGATTAGTTTCCAGTAAATGTTCATCACAAAACCATGCAGTTGAGGAACAGGAAGAACAGATCAGAGCCAAGCTGCACTTGCAGAGCTGGGTGTGTGCAAGCAGCTCCTGAGGAGCAGACCTGCTGCAGTTTGAGACCACGGTGGGTTTGGCAGGGCTGGGAAGGGCTATGAGAGCAGGAAGAGCTGCAGCTCCTGCCTGAGCTCTGGGCTGTGTCACACTGCTGGGGACAGGAGGGACAAACTTCCTGCCTGTTTGTGTTCAGTAGTTCTGTACTCTGGGTGCAGTATGACACATGAACATTTCTATATGCAGGATATCCTGTGTGCTGTACATGCTCAATGTGTTTGTATTAAAAATATGAAATGCCCATGAGAACCTTTATTTAGCAGTTCACTGCTGTAGCCCTCTCATGGACACCTGCCTGTTCTTCCCTGTTGATTTGCTGTCAGTGATCTGGTGCCCACAGGACCTCACTGCAATCTGTGATTTGAAAGAAAGTGCTCATGCTTCTGCCCAGAAATGCAGGTGTTTACCCCACTTTGTTGTTACCAGTATCTTATGGCAGTGTTTTCCATATGGCACTCCTGGGATGAGTCCTTTGGGACTGCTGCCTTTGATGAGCACTGAGGGAGCAGTGCTGTGAACTCTGTACTTCCTGCAAGTCCAAACGTCTCCCTTGCAGTTCAGCAGTTAAAACTCCAGTGTTTGCTCTTGTAAAAGGAGGAGTTGATGGTGGGGTCATGTCTGGTCCTGAATTGATCTGTGGCCTAGCATTTAAATCTGGGAGCTTCTGTATCAAAGTAGCCACAGAGGCAGGACTCACAAACAAAAGTCTGTAGCAAGCAGTTGTGGAAATTACACCACTCTTGTTTTGAATTGTGGATATTCTACTACTTAGTTTTTACTATTGTTAGCAAAATTCACCCTGTATCATCCTGTACCATAACTGTGTTCTGGTGTCTCTACAAGCTGATACCAGTTCAAGCCTGCATAACCTCTGTTTGTATTGTCCTCAGCCTCTACTGATTAGATCTTGTTTCACAGAAATGACTTGGTATTGTGCATTGATAAAGTATTTATCAGCACAGTCAGGACCTGTTTGTTTACTTGATACTATCTAAGTGCTCTAATTCCAGCCTGCAGTCTAAAGTTCACAGGAGGGAAGATGATTTCAGGAAAATGGAGAATCAGGCTGGTGGTGATGAGTGCAGGGCATTCACAGTCACATGCTCTGTCAGCCACCAGGAAAAAGCCTAAAAGGAAAATAGGGAAGCACTAACCAGTTTATTTTTCTGGCACTTCAGGATGAGATGACCTCAAGTTTGGGCCTTACCACAAAGAAAGCCCTCACGATCCTGAGAGACCAATTGTCAGCTCTGCTGGAGGGGCATCAGAAGGAACGGAAAAAAGGGTCTTCATGGAAGGTGAGGCATCAAACAGCACAAGTTTGGCACTTGGTCTCCCCTTCTCGAAGTAAAGATGAGAGCTAAACAGAAGTTGGCTGCATTCCCCCCCAGTGTCCAGGTGTAGAACTGCTGAAGTTCTTGGGAACAAAGCAAGGAATCTAAGGGTGAGTTTCTGTGAGCACTTCTCTCCTGGATGTTAAAGCTCTATTGGAAGATGCCTCTTGCCTGTGAAGGATCTCAGGACTTCAAGAGCCACTAAGGGCAGTGAGCTTAGAGGATCCATCTCAGGTGGAGATAAAAGAGCTGTGAAGCTCAACAGTCTCCCCTTGTCCACCATGTTTGCCTGGGATGTGTGTTGAATACAAAGTGCTGGTGTTTATGCACAGTGCTTAAAAGTGTTCCTTGGTTTGTCAGTGACAATGGGACAGCCTGGCACAGATGCCTTTTCATTCTTCCAATCAACAGAAAAGCAGAGTGTTCACCCAGACTCACCAGCTGAATATCCATTGGTGCTGAAGGATTCACACAATGGATCTGGGATGCTCTGTATCATGTTCAGGGGTTTTGCAAAGTTCTGTTCTCCCTGGAGCACCAGCTGCTGTCTTCACCCTTTCTCACTGTTTTTCCAAACGTCTGGCTCTGTATTCCATGAGTGCTGACTGTCTGCTGCTCTCCCTTTGCAGGAGGTGTGGAGGAGCAGTTTCCTGTACCATGGCAACCGCTGCTCCTGCTTCCACTGGCCTGGTGCATCTCTGATGCTGCTGGCAGTGCTGTTGCTGCTGTGCTGCTATGGGAGCCAGCCACAGGGGAGGTGAGCAAAGCTTCCTGTGATGCTTAACTGAAGCAGGGTGGTGGTTTTATATAATCTTAGAACTGTCTGTGATTGACATGAATGTTGTCCCTCATTCTAGATATCTAGATATCTAGATGTCAGCATACTCACACTGGTAATTTCCTATCAATCCCTTTCACAGAACAACAGCCAAATTAATTCTACTTCTAATAGGAGAGGCTGTAGGTTTTTTTTTCTACATCATTCCTAGATCTTTAAGACTCTTAAGGCATTATGATAGTTAGGAAGTAATTTGAAACTGGAGAAATTAGTGGCTCATGGGAGAAGTTAGTGTGCTATACATGCATTGACCATATTTGTAAAGTATTTTTTAATTGAGATGTGTCCTTTCAGACCTCTTTGGTGTCTTTATCCTAAAGAAGTGTGATCATGCGTTTCTTTTTGAGCTGTAAATCTGTGAGCTGTGGGAATAAACAACTTGTGTGTTTATCTCTGTGGGTGTCTGGCAGTGTATTCTGCTTGTTTACTCAAACTTCATGTGCATTCTGCTTCCTCCTGTTTTGCTGTGTGAAGCCAAGGTGCTGAGATAGTCAATGCACTGGCACTCTTCCTCCTGCTCCTCTTGGATCTCCTCATGATCGGGCGTCAAGAGAGGCTGAAGTGCAGAGAGGTGGAGAGGAGGCTTCAGACCATCGTTGATAAGATAAATGGTGAGGTCTCCTTCACCTGTCCCATTTGCACTTGTGTTTTCCTCCCATTGAATCTTTCCCCAGACCTGATTACATGCATTTCTAATTAATCTTGCTAACCTTCCTCCTTGTTGCACAAAAACAGGCTGTGGGAGGTGTGTTCTCCTCATGCTTGTCCTGTAAAGTAGTTATTTTGAGCTGTCATGTGGCCGTGTGCTTCCAAGCTGTGTGTTAGCAGGTGGGCGTCTGTTATGGCTGTGCTTTGGAGTAATTCAAATCCTCATGTCCTTATAAAAATATCTGCCTTGCAGCAGATGAGGAGGGGAGAACACGTGGGGTTGTACCACAACACAGAGCAGAAGTAAATTAATTGCTGTTCATGAGCATCGTCTCAATGGGGGCTCTGGGACCTGAGGGGGCAGTTCTTTTCAGTGGGGTAGTTTTAAGGACAGCCTTTAGCATTTCTGTTGTACAGGTTTTTAAATGACTGTTTAGCTGTTAATACTGAGTGGAGAGAGAAGGGAAAAGCCATCAAGGAGGAAGAGAGAGATGATAAAAGATCATGGGAATGGGCTGAGCTTAGCATTAGGGGACTTACAACTGCTACAGGATGTAAATCCAGAATTGCTACCACTTCAATCTTTCATACTTTGTGCTTTCAGATACACTTGGCAAAGAGGTGAAATGGCCAGACTCCATGTACCCTGACCTTCACATGCCTTATGCCCCATCCTGGTCCCTTCACTGGGCCTACAGGGATGGGCATCTTGTCAACCTGCCCGTGAGCCTCTTGGTAGAAGGAGATGTTGTGGCTTTGAGGCCAGGCCAGGAATCATTTGCTTCTCTGAGAGGGATTAAGGTAACTTGCTTGTCTAATTTCCCTGGCCTGTAACATTTTTTTTTTCTTGCTAATAGTCTAATTCCCAGAGTACAAATTATTGGAGTGTCTGGTTTCTTCTGACCTTGAAAATAGCTTGAAATTTCAGTTCAGTCAAGGACAGGGCATAGTTAGCTAGGCTGCATCTTCTCCATGAACTCCCAAACCCACTGGACAGGAGACACTAATGTTATACAAAAGCATCCTCCTCTCTCAGGTCAAGGGGAAAATGTAATGTGCTGCTAAATATAAGTGGAGTATTATCCAGTAGGATAATATGACATACAAACCTCGTCCTTTATCCTGTTTTATATGTGCAGAAATAAAGTTTGTCTGCTTTGACCTTCTTCTTACTACTGATTTATTATAAAAGAAGGCAATAAAAAATACCTGGTGTAGAAGTTAATTAACTACTCACAAGATCTATAGAAAGATTTTACTGCTTGAAGAAGGTTGGAAAAAGTTTAAAGCTTGAAATTTACCTCTGGTGGTTAAAATTTTAAGTTTCACTCCAAATGCCAATTTGCATTAAATAACCAGATGTGCTTGAATAGAAGCCTTTGGACTCTCTGACCTTTCTTCTAGGATGATGAGCACATAGTTCTGGAGCCTGGAGATCTATTTCCACCCTTCTCACCCCCTCCCTCCCCAAGGGGAGAAGTGAAGAAGGGACCTCAGAATCCTCAGATCTATCGTCTCTTCCGTGTGTTGAAGACCCCAATAATTGATAATGTCAGGTGGGTTAAATGCAGGGCACAGTGCCTACCCAGCTGTCTGTGTCCTTGTTGCTGCCTTCCTGCTAAGCAGGTGAGGAGACCTGAGAAATTTGCTTGGCAATACTGCAAATTTACCCTGGCAAGTGCCACACACTTATTGTAGATGTTGGCTTCTCTTTCGACAGCCCTCCCTCATAGCATAGGCTGAGCACAGTGTTCTAATTAGGTCTGCTAGGAAGTTTATGTCCAAGGAAAGTGAAGGGTTAGGGTCTTGGTTGCTGAAATTTCCAGCTGTTTTCTGTTTTTTAGGTGGTGCCTGGAAATGGCTCTGTCACGGCCTGTGACAGCCCTGGATAATGAGAGGTTCACTGTACAGTCAGTGATGCTGAAATACGCTGTCCCTATCGTGCTGGTAAGTCTCATTCCAAGCCTTTGTCCTTGAGAATAGCCATGTTTTGTCAGTAAATCTGAAGAACTGCAGCCATCAACAGGAAGTTGTGGCCAGGCTCACTCATGCAGCTGACTCTGTGTGTACCTTCAGCAGTTCAGAGATGCTGAGCCACATAACCATGAGAGTGGAGGGAGGAACTGCAGCAGCAGATCAAAAATATATTTTTCATACTTTCCCCAGGGCTGAGAACGTTACAAGGCACTGAAAACACCTTCCCTGCAAGTGCCAGTAGTTAGGTGACAGTGTCATCTCTGAATTGCAGGCTGGATTCCTGATTACAAATGCTGTGCGCTTCATTTTCCAAGCTCCTGGAATTGCTTCCTGGCAGTACACTCTTCTTCAGCTGCAGGTAAAGGAGAGACAACCTATCAAAGGCAGTACAAATGTTTTTGCCTTTAAACTCATTGGTGTTTACGCCAAATTCGGCAGGAAAATCAGTTGCAAGTTGGTGTGATTGATTCATGGTGTCCTTCATTAAATCCCCCTAAGGTGTGCACTGTTTGGCACTGCTTTTGTCCCCTTCCTTCCTTTTATCCCTATCTTCTCTGTGTGGTGGAGAAGGTGTCACGTGAGAGGTTCTGACTTCTTGTTGTCCGTGCTTGTTGTGGATCACAGGTTGTTTTTTTCAGGTGAATGGTGTCTTACCCATCCTTCCGTTGCTCTTTCCTGTCCTGTGGATTCTTGCTACAGCCTTTGGAGAAGCCAGAGTGTTGGCTCAGATGAGCAAGGCCTCCTCCACCTCACTGGTAGGTTTCTTTCCACCTGAAACCCTTGCAGAGACAAGGGCAGGAGATGAAAAGGCTCTGTGAAATGAGAATTCAGCAGATGTGTCCACATAACTGTAAAACCTTGGATCTTTGGTTGTCCCAGCTGTTCTCCCCTCTCTCTGGAGTACAATATTACTTCTTGAACAGATGCTTTAATTTTTTCAACCTCTCTACAGATATCCCAAGGTGATAGGAAGCTCTGGTGATGCCGTAAAACTTGTCAGGGCGTGTGTTTTCTGTCAGTAGAGTTTGTCAGAGGGGTCAACATGGAAATAAATGCTCGGGGGTGGCTGTAACTGGGCGATGTGTAGCCACTGAGAAGGAATGAGGTACATCATATCCTCTGCAACGCCCTGTGGGCTGAACAATCCTTTCCTGAGGCTCTGGGGCGTTCTTTGCAGGCGTGGCCTTTGAGTAGGTCAGGGAGGAAGAGCAGTTTCTGGTGGTTGTTCTGGTTTGGGGCGTGGAGTTTGGTGGTTGGGTGGGATATGGTCCTGAATTGGATGTGCTGTTGTGTGTCTCTTCTTTTGTCCTGGTGGCAGTGCTGGTGAGGTGCACTGAGCTATGTTTGTCTTCTGTTCTGATTTCTCTTACTTGGATGGAATTTCTCCTTCTTGTCCTTCCTTGGCTTCTGTGGCCCTGGGTCTGTGTTTACTATTCTTTTCTCTCTAGTTGAACATGACTAAGCTGCCCATGTCCTGGGAGGAAGGTCACATTACATCCCTTAGTAGCATTTGCACCTCTAGATTCTCTTCTCAGTGTTTTCACCACTTTACCTTTCCTACCCATGCTCAGCTTCACTTGGTTTGTACTTTTGAAAACTCCCTTTTTCCCATCACAATTTGCAGTTCAGCTGGAATGAGCCAGAGCTCCTTGGCTTCCTTACTTCATCATTCTCAACATTCCCATTTGCCCTGTCACTCATACTTGCACATTCCTTTTTTTCCTTTCCTGTCTTCTCCTTTTTCTTGTCCAGACAACTCTGTCTGTCCAGCCAGCTCTTTCTGTGGCATCTCAGACATGATCCTCCATCCTTGCTGCTGCAGAACAGCTGCTGTGATGTGCCTTGGTCACATTCCCCCTGACCAGGGCAGTCACTTGGCCTCCCTATTTCCCTCCTTCCTTCTCTCTTCTCTGTTCAAAATGTAGCAGGTAAGACTCTTCTCCTCTCCAATCACTTGACCTACTTGGTGGCAACTTGGCCACTTCTCCACCTTCTTCCCCTTCCTACCAAGTTCAAGCTGTTTGAGTCCCAATTTTTCAAGGCCAGAGGTGACCTTTGTGACTGGTGGAAAGGACACAAACCAATGCTCCCCTAAACAAGCCCCAGGTTTCATTACTACAGTTGGACTGCAGCAACATTCCTTTTAGAAAGGAATTTGCTGTTGCTTTGAAAACTTTTGTAGTGCCTTTGATAGGTTGTCTCAGTAATTATTTACCTTCACTGCTAAATATGGACATTCTGTGTTAGTGGGAATTTCTGCAGTATCCGATTTCCAGTCCTTGGAAAATTTACATCTTTTGTCTCCTAGATTTAGGAGCAAAGAGCACGTCAATCAAAATTCTGGTCTGTTGTAACTGCTCATATTCCTTTTTACCATCTCTAGTTAAGTAAACATTTCAAACACCTTGAGGCACTATAAGCATATTTTCCAAACCTCTGATCTTTCTCTTGGCATTCCTTTTAGCTTTCTCCACTGTTTCAAGATCACTGTAGGGTTATGAATCTCAAACCCCATAAAATATTCCAGTAATAGCTTTTGATAAATTTCAGAATAATTTGGACTTTCTGCTCTGTGTTCCCTTGTTTGTACAATAAAGGATCCCATTAGATCTTTCAGCCACTCCTTTAAAAGGCCAAGCTTTGTTCAGCTGCAGTTACTGCTTTCTGAGAATCCTCATCCTGTAAATCCAACCTCCATTTTTGCACCTAAATACACAGCCTTAGTTTTGTGCCCATTTTTGCATCCTGCCCAAGCAATCCATATTGTTCTGTGACAGTGGTCTGTCCTCTTTACGTTGCAGGCCTAAACTTTGTATCCTTTACAGTCTCTATCAGTAATATGTTGTTTTTAATTTTCTCTCAGGTTATTAACAAAGTACCCAGATTTGTCCCTGCTTGAGCTAGTAACACATTATTGCAAATAATTTCTGTTTCTCTTCCATTTAGAGATTGTCTATTTCTAATATATCTAACATGAGTCCTATTACCTTGATATTTTAGTTAGAAAACTAGTCAAGCATTTAGAATCAAGTCAAATTATCAAATGGTCTATGTCAAAAGCAGTACTTTTATCAGATAAATCTGTACTTTTGTCAAAACAGATATCACAATAGTTTGAGGGGATTTGCTGCTCATATAGTTGTGGTGTTTGGCACTGATTTTATTATTTCACTTCTTTTATTAGTCTCATATTAGCTGCTCTTTTATTCTGTTTGAAATTAAAGTCTGTCTGGGGTCCTGTGGTAACTTGGATGGTTCTCCTTCCCTTTTTGGGCATTGGCACCACTTCCATTGAACTGGGACTTAATCCATAGTTCAAGCCTTGTGCAAAATCAGCAGTAACAGTCATTGTCCAGACCTGCTAATTTAAACATATTTACTTTCTGAAGCTGGTGTTGGAATGGAAAATATTTCATAGTTATCATATGGTATGATTGTATCACTGCATAAGGAATAGCAATATTTATTTAACATGTCTGCCTTGCCTACAATGTCATTTGCAATTTCACTGTCTTTAACAAGCAGTGGTCTGGTTTTAATTACCAACTGGTATACTTTCCCTTATTTTTTATGTTAATTCTTACTACTGTTTTCCTTTCACTCAAGACTGGTTTCTTATTTTTACTATGGGATTGTTACTTTTAAAAATTGTAACAAAATATTCTTAAACAGTTCCTAGTTATCCTTCATAGTTCTCAGTTTAAATTATTTCTGACATATTTCTCTTGGCTTGTTTTGGCTTTGTTAAACTGATCCTTTTTCAAGTGCCAGATATCTGCATTATTATTTGGGCTATAGTTTCATATACATATAAATGTAATTGCCATGTTCACTTATGGTTATGAATAGACTTAAATTTAAACTTTTTTAAAATTACATCTAGTGTGGAATACCTTTGTGCTGGATGCAAAATTTCTGAGTTAGTGAATTTCTCAGGGTAATTCCAAGAGTGCTGTGGTGGTGCCCTGCTATAATTTCTTTTCATTTCTTCTCCACATCCCATTCATATCACCTCACTCCTCTGTGTCCATTGTGTTCCAGGCATCTGCTTTTCCAACCGGTCTTCCTGTAACTGACCCATATAAGTTAAAATCAGATCACTCAATCCTGGCTCTTTCTAGCTAAAAATAACCACCCAGAAAGATCCTCCTCTGGGTCTAATTGCTATTATTTTCTCTGTAGACATTTAGGTAATGACTGTGTTCCTCTGTGATGTACAACACTAAGCACTTTGCCTGTGCTTCACAAGTAGATAAAAACAGAGTCCATTAAAGACGTAATTGCTTTGATGAATTATTGGTCTGCCTTGGTACAGTGATTCCCACAGAGCAGGACTCCTGCTTTCTGCTCCGTGAAGGCACATCCTGTGGGAAGGATGTTCCTCATGGCACATTTCTGAGCACAATTATAGTAACTGGTCTCTTCTCTTGCTGCAGCTTGCTAAGTTTTCAGAGGACACTCTCAGCAGCTACACAGAGATGGTATCTTCTCAGGTACTATTATTATGAATTGTTTTCCTCCATCTTCATTGCAGAACTTCATGATATCCTTTCCCTTCCTCTCTGATCTCCTGCTTGTTGCTAGACCCTTTTTACTTGTGTCAGTTGTTCATTGTCACTCATGTGTTGCTTTAATTTGATGTGCATGCAGGTTGCATGTCTTTCCCCTCCACCTCTCCATGTAAATACTGCTGTTCTGACTAGAGTTTGAGGTGACCTCAATACTCAGTCCAGTTGGGCTTTTCTGAATATTGTAAATGGTTTGAAATCAACATTTTCTGTCCTGGAGACAGAAAATTTTCAAGTCCTGTTCTACAAGACTAGAAGTAAAATAAACTTTGTATGGTGTGTGTCTGAAAGAAGTATTTTACTTGTACCAGAAAAAACTTTGTTCAAGCCAAAATGAAAACCCAGAGGGAATGGTGGTCAGCACCCAGACCAACTGCAGAAGGACCATGGGATGTTCAGGCTTTTTAAAAGGCTGATCCTGCTCTACAGACTTCTTATCAGGCTTAAGCACATTACTGGTGCTTCCAAAGCTGGGGCAATGGAACATTCAGGAGCCCTTTTTCTAGGGAATGAACTACTCTGGCCACTGTATAAATTGCATTATCCAGGTTAAACAGGTGGGTAGAGGAAAGACCCTTCTCTGTCTATCTGGTGTTAACCTTCCTCTTTCTGTAAGGAGGCAGATGGACTCCAGGAGTTATTAAAAATCCCTTGATGTGATAAGAATCAATTCCTGTCTCCTTGCTCCCAGACACTCAGAGGAATGCACATGGGTGCACACACTTGTGTTTCTTTTGCTGAATATTTTGGTGCCTTTTTGTGCCAGTTCATCATATAGCTGAGATGTTTTTCAGATATTAAATGGCAGTGATTTTAGATGACCTTGTTGAGGAGATCTGTTTCTTAACTTTTGTAACATTTTTGCTTAGAAGAAACTGGTTTAAATAAGAACTTTTTTTTTTTTCTTGGTGATAGCTCTGTATTGTTTTTCATTTGAGCTTACTGCTGTACTAACCATTAGGATCAAGGGAGCATAATTTGAGGAACTTTGGGTGAAGTGCTCTGCAGTCACAGTATTCCAGAATGTCAGCTAAAAAGCCAGTAAAATAACACAGTAATTCAATCATGGTTTTGCTGGCTTTAGGACTGCCAGAGGAAAACACACACCTCTGGTGCTTGGATTGATTGCTGCCATCCAGACTCCCTCTGAAACATGTCTGTGTAGAAAATGAAGGGTTCCAACTGGACATCCTAATTTTGCAAAATATCCCCTTCTCTCTGCTCCATTACAATTCTTTAGCAAAAATGGAGTAGTCAGGGCACTTTGACTTTGTTTCTGATGCTATCATTGCCTCAGTAAGTAACCTTGAACAAGTCGCCTCACCACAGGGACCCCGTTCTTTACCTGATTTGCAGCATGGTGGTGGGAACTGAAAGGCCTCAAACTCCACCATCCAAGGGGCTGAGTTACTTCAGGATAAAAACACCAAGAGGTGACAACTAATTCACTCAAAATGAACTCACTTCAGAATTCATTTCCATGGTTTTGGATAGACAAGAGGTAGTTTCAGTAAATTCTCAGTTCAACAATCAGACTGACTGTTAGCAATCAGTAGAAAGGGGAATAAATGCTTTTCCCTGGAGAACACCAGCACTGTATCAGGTAACAGGTTCCCACAGAGACTGATGTTTATCTTACAGTATATCCCTGTGTTGAAAGTGAAAGCAGGTAATGTCATACTCCCTTTTTTCCTTCTCTCCCTTCATCTTCCACTGAGTGAGTCTCTAACTGGCTGATGTCCTCTGCTTCCCTCCTCAGGAAATGATACGCTGTATCTGGAGCCACTTCCTCTGTGTTTTAAAAGGCAAATCCCCAACTCTGAGCTTCACTTCCAGCTTGCTCCACAGTCTGGGATCTGTCACTGTGAGTATTGCTGGGTTGTCAGAAAGAGGAGCCCTTTGAGGATGCTTCATTTGCATCATTCATGTTATTCTTCCCTGAGCGCAGACTGCAATCAGTTCACTGTGCTGGAATTAGAAACCCTTCAGGCACCTGTCTCTGTAGAAGAGTTTATAACTGTCTTGTCATGTCCAAGCACATTTACAGGCTAAAACAATGGTTTGAGGTACTCTGTGACATCTGACAGGATGTCTGTATCTTCCAGCTCTGGTTCTGGTTAAATTATCCTCTTTATTCCTGTGCAAGAACCAGCTGTTTTGGGTTCTAGGTAGTGAAATAGGTTGAATAGTTGCTTCCTTCCTTTGGTCTTCATGCTTAGTTTTGTAATATGCTGAAGTGAAATTGGTGTTAAACAATCCATCAATCTTATTAGAGTAAGGAATTATTTGATTTCTTGGAGAGTTATTAGGTGCAGTTTTTTAAGAGAAAAAGTTGATAAAGGAGAGACTTGTCTATCCTCCCATGTGTTTATTAATGTCATGATATTTACAACTATGCATGAACACAGATGTTTTCACTAAGATTTTTCTTTCCTGGGGGTGTTGTGGGATGTTCTAGGTGCTCTGCTGTGTAGACAAGCAGGGGATTCTTTCCTGGCCAAACCCCAGTCCAGAGACTGTTCTGTTCTTCAGTGGGAAGGTGGAACCACCTCATGACAGCCACGAAGACCTGACTGATGAGCTTTCCACACGGTCCTTCTGCCATCCTGAGATGGAAGATGAGGTGAGTGATCCTTGGTCCATAATTTAATGTGTTGGCTGCAATCATAGTTTGACTGACACACAATGTGATATTATAGAGGGGCTTTGTAGAGAAGTCCTGTGCCATAATTCTTTGCTTAAAGATGAAGAAGCAAGCTAAGATCCTTTTCTACAGGAGTCCTGAAGCAGCAGGTGAATCAGCAGTGCCTTGTGTTCAACTGCTGAATCACCACCCTTTGCTCTCTTGGTCTCCCACAGCCCCATGAAAGAGATGCTTTGCTCTCTGGCCCCCTGGCAGACACAGTGCACATGGCCAATGAACAGGAGAGGAACAACTGGTCTGGTGATGCTCCAAAGGCTCCTGAGGCCTCTGCCCACCGAAAGCCAAACAGCAGAAGCAAACATCCCTCTGGATCCAATGTGAGCTTTAGCAAGGACACAGAGGGTGGAGAGGAGGAACATACTCAGGTAAGACTTACTGGAGGGGCACACAAGTAGGCTTTTGTGGAGCCATAACACAAACTCAAACCCATAGAGTCCCCACTGTTGGGGAATTTAATCCCTGCAGGATTCTAGGCTCAAGCTATATTCACTGTAGCAAACTACAGTTTCTCTGCCTGTTGGACCAGGTTGTTGGGGACAGCGAGGTGTTGGCTTGTGAGGCTGAAGACTTTGTGTGTGACTACCACCTGGAGATGCTCAGCCTGTCCCAAGACCAGCAGAACCCCTCCTGCATCCAGTTTGATGACTCCAACTGGCACATGCACCTGAATTCCCTCAAGCCTCTGGGCCTGAACGTGCTGCTCAACCTGTGCAACGCCGGCGTGACTGAGCGGCTGTGCCGCTTCTCCGACCACCTCTGCAACATCGCCCTGCAGGAGACTCACAATGCTGTGCTGCCTGTCCATGTGCCCTGGGGCCTCTGTGAGCTTGCCAGGCTGATAGGTGAGGAGGAACTGGATGAACAGACATGAAGAAATCAGAGCTGTCAATAGACACTTAATTCTTAGAGAGCATGAGAATATTTCCCCAGTCCTGTTTGCTGAGGAGGTGGAAATACAGAGCTGACTCTGTTGTTGCTTGGTTGCCAAAAGAGTTTATTAAAGAGATGGCTTTTGGCAAGTTCTGACATTGTCAGTGCTATCCAAGGAACAAATGTTATCAAGGATAGTGCCAGCCAACCCTGACTAGGCTTCATATTCTCCTGATGTGAGTCTGCTGGTCTCATCAGGAGACAAAGAATACCTGCTGATGAACAGATATCTAGCCTATCTTTACAGCAGGGCTTTACAGGGAGTTTGGGGATGAATTATGTACCTCTGCTCATTTTACAGTTGGGAAAATGGAGGCATAGGGGCAGTAAGAGGTTAGAGGTAACATTAGGATTAAAAACTGGAAACTTGAACTCACTTCTGTGCCTGTCCTGTGATGTCACAATTACTCTCATCAGTAAACAAGAGCATGAACACTGTAATTACTAATCTTTGGATTACTACACTTTTGATTATTTTTATCCTAGATCTTGAGCCATATTTACATAGATGAATAGTGAGCACAGCTCACCTACCAGTTGCTGGGGAGGTGTCAGAATGATCACAGGCAAAGTGGGTGGCACAGCATCAGAAGGGATCTTTCTTTTGCATTGATTAGAGTCTGATTTTCCTCCTCCTTGTATTCATCTTTCAGGTTTCACACCAGGTGCTAAAGATCTTTTCAAGCAGGAGAACTATTTGGCTTTGTACCGCTTGCCAAGTGATGAGATGGTGAAGGAAACCATCCTGGGGAAGCTTTCATCCATCACCAAGAGGAGACCCCCCCTGAGCCACATGATTAATCTGTTTGTGAAGGACACCACTACCAGTAAGGCTGCTTCTTTCTCTGGGCACCCACTTGGCACAGGGGGAGATTTCCTCAGAGAGCCCAGAAAATGTCAGGCTGGAAGAGCCTGGAGTCCCTGTGGAGTGATGCCCCTGTTCTGCCCATGGCCAGTGCAGATATGATTAATAAACCTCAGTGACCATCTGTGGTATTCTGAGGGGGGGAATTCTTCCCAGCCTTGATTCACTCCAGGATCAAAATAATTAGAAAAAAATATTTTAGATAGCACATAGTAAACCTGTTTTCTGTGAAGAAATGTCGGTGCAGAGTATGGTATGGGTTTATTGAGTTTTTAATAGGCTTCATGATGGTAGTGAAACTCATACTGCACAGGGCTGAATGTCACTCTGGGTTTTAGTTAATAATGCTCATCCTTCTGATAAATCCTAAACCAATATCTTTGTGAGATGTCTAGTGTATTACATTACACACTCCTATATTGCATACTAATAAGAAATCACAAAACTCCCATGCAAACTCACAGTGACCATGAATATAAACCTGAAGTCAAGCAGATTTCTCCACTCTTTCTATGCCTTCCTTCTCTCATAGGAATGGGCTAGGATGAAAAGGATGTACAGCTGGCTGGGGTCTTAAAGCACCTCAGAAAGATTTAACAGCTTGCCTGTCAGAGCTCTTAGTCTCTCTGTAATTCCTTAAATTGACTGAACTTGGCTTTCTAGAGCTGACATATGTTCAATATTGAATCTGAAATATGATCATTTTGCTGGCCAGAGTTTTGCCAGGTTAAATTGTCTTTTCTCACCCACTTCTTAAATTTTTGTCTGTATCTGGGGAGGAGCTTTTTCATGTGTTCTGATTGCTACTATCTTGCCTTTGTAAGTAGAAATTGTTTTGATGCTGAGATTTTTAGTGTAGAGAAAAAACCTTTAATGTTGCCTCATTTCAACTCCTTATCCTCAATTTTAAACGGTTTATGTTAGAGCCTGGAGCTCAGACAAATAGGTGTGACCTGGATTATACTGTCTAGAGTAAATTCTAAGAGGAATTTTGCCAGTTGGGTTTGGTTAACCATTGGAACGCCTTTCACACAATAGTCCTGTCCCTTGAAATTTCCTAAAATACTGCCATTTCAGAACCAGAAATACTGGATTGTTCAGATAACATTGGGTGAAGTCAAATGGCTCTGTTTATGCAGAAGTCAGACCAGATGATCATAACTTACCTCTCTCCACACATTATTTGTGGATAAATCTTGGAATCCACCCACTTCCATGACATGCTGCAGTCAAAGCAAGATACATAAATTCTACAGCTGTAGCAGAAATAGGAGGCAGCTTTTCTGTATGTTCCTTTACTGTTCTATTGAAATATGTGTCTCACCATCTGGCAGTGTTCATCCCAGATCCATAGTAACCACATGGAAATGAGGTGCTCACGATGTCTTCCACTGAGGAAAATGGCTCGATACCATCTCTGTCTTCCTTTGCTGGAGCTGCCCTGCTCCATTCCTTTTGATCTGTTCATTGGCTCAGCTGGAGCAGTTTGATTCTTCCCAATGAGTCCCAGCAGCCGTGAATGGCTGGTCGTACCCCCTGCCCTATTCATTAGTTTTTTCCCCCCTTTTGCCAGAGAAATCCTGGCCTGAGAGTTCATGATTTGGGAAGGGAAAAGGCTGAGCTCATTTTACTGGCAAGGACAGCTCAGTGAACTCCTTGCAGTTTATACTGTCTGCAGTCACTGCCACTTTCCTCTTAGCAGGGCTGTGGTGTGGGATTCTGGTGGGAATTGATGGGAAATGGATTGCAGTTGCAGACAGGCATGAACGTGGGTACATCTGTGGTCATTGCAAGCTCTTGCTCTGTGTCCAGGACTTAGGTTTTGCATGGATAAACATCTCTTGTTCCCTCTTTCTGAGCAAGGACTATGTGACCTTAGGAGCAAGGTGGGAAGGATTAGGTGTTTATACAATAAAATTAACCAGAGCTCTGCACAAATGCTCTTTTGTGTCCCTGAGACAGGCTCCTTCTTTCATACACAGCTCTTATTCGTCTTGGAGGTTTGTTATGCTGATAAACTTGGCTTGTGATGACTATTTATAGCAAAAGCAGAGAGTTGCTATGGTTTGGAAAATCCTCCGGTGTTCCTGAATGTCTCTGGCTGGTTTGTGTTGAGGGGATATTATTGGCACTGGGTTTCACCAGCCAGTGTGAGCATTAGCAGTCAGCAACAATGCCTGCAAGAAGCCTTTGGGCTCATTTTTCTTGGCAGTGGTTTTTTTTTTGGTGGATTTTTTTTTTTAATTAGCTCAGCTTTGAAGCTACTGGGGGCAAAGTCACAGAGCAGCTGGAGGAGGGAAGGGAGACTCTACGTGCAGGAAATGTTAATGGGTTGATAAAAATGAGAGGGAGCAGGAGGTGTGGAGGGGAGACAGCCCCTTGTCCCTGAACTTGTGTCCTGTGCCTGAGACCTGCATCAGGGATGTCACACACCTCTGAGAAAAACTTTTTGACACCTCTGACTACAAGAGGGAATAAGAGATTTTGAGTCTGTATTAAAAACTAAAATAGGGGGAGAAAGAAAACCAGGACAAGCTGTGGTGTCCGTTGATTTTCAGTTCTTCCCTAAAGACAACATTTTTAGAGTCTCTTATATTGAACTTTTGACCCATCCTGATTTAGCACATTTTCAGGGTGAAAATGTGAAACAGGCTGTTATCTGGCAGGTCGCACTGTCAAATTATCCTCTGCTACTTGAATGAAAAGTGTTCAAGAATAGCTCTCACCCTTTAGTTCCACGTCTGGCCTAAAAATGAATGTACTTTGCAGCATAGGCAGACTTTGATCCCTGTGGGCTCATCACTACTGCTTGTACTTTCATGATGAGAGGCACAAAGGAATTTCTTTTCTGCTCTGTGGGATGCAGAAGCAAGATAATATCCCACCTTTATAGGAGCAGGATTGATACACAGGGTAAGGGAATAGGAAGGGACTACATGGCTCATATTTTATCACAGCCTTCTTTAAACCCACAATTACACAAAGTTGCAGGTGCATCATTGATCCTGAAAAATTTCTTGATGGAAACTGAAGACTTTCAGCAGAGGCAAAGGCGATATCTGGAATGCATCAAAGCATTTTGTGGGACCACTCAAGTTTTAACAAATAAGGGAGCAGTTGGTGTGATATGTTCTTCCTGGGAGCTGTATATGTGATGCTGACTCATTGTTCTCCTACACTTCAGGCACTGAGCAGATGTTTTCTCATGGGACAGCTGACATCATCCTTGAGGCCTGCACTGACTTTTGGGATGGTACAGATATCTACCCCCTCTCTGGCTCTGACAGGTGGGCAGCTTTCCCATTTGGGGCATTCAGGAGCTGCAGATAAAATGTGGAGGGAACCTGGTCACTCTTAAAATTTTTTTTGTGATGCTTGTTAAGCTTTTTAAGGGCTTCAAGTAGGTTATGAACATGAGCCATCTCTGCTTGTAATTAATTGTTATCATAGCATGTAAGAGATTAGACAGCAACAAGCATTCAGTTGGACTGGAAGATCAGCCACTTCTTACTGTATCTGTTGGGATATTGTCCTCTTGTGAGTTGATTCTGAATGCACTGTGCAGTCAGACTGAATTGTAATCAGGTCATGCTGGTGGCAGAGAATTTTTTGTTGCTTTTCAAGAAAAATGTGTTGTCTTACATAAAATGCAAAATGATCAATTGTGCCTGAACCAGTCCACACAATGCATCACACTCTTGGAGTCCTGCTGCAGTATCTGACAATGTGTGCTGCATTTTCATCTACAGCTGAATTGCTGTTCCTCTTAGCACAGCAGACCAGTAATGTTTAGTTTCACTGCCTTTTCACATTGTTCCTATAAATCTGCTTATCCTCGAGTGTGGAGAAAACTGCCACTTATCATTTTTGGACTATTGATCATGTTACAAGCAAATTTAAAATCTGATGTATAGTCTAATTTGTTACCTTTGTGAATTCAGCTTAGAGAAGGAACTTTACCTTATTTCAGTGACTGAATATTGACTAAATACAGCTCCTGGGACCCAGACTCTGAAAGGGGATAAGAGAAAAGTCTGCTCCTGCAACTATCTCTGCCGTAGATCCTGTTGTCAGAGTTGTCCATTCCCTCTTTGGTGTTTATATCCCTACAGATAAATTATGTCAAATGAATTAAGCTTCTGCTGTCATGTGATGAACTTTCTTGGGGTCATCTGGCAGCCATATAGAGCATATTATATTAATAAGTGTATTTGAAGAGCTCTGTGTTCATACCCATCAATCTGATGAGCAAACAGAAACATTCACCACTGCTCTTGTTGGAATATGTGTTCTTGCTGCCCTGCAGTACCAGCGGCTTGGAGAATGCAGAAGCAGTAGGGAAAGGCTTCTTCAGACTTTCTAATCACTTTTTGTGGAAGATGTTTTTCCAAATACATCTAACTACAGCATTTCTGTATTGTCAGAAACTTTTGCTAACTTTGCCTGTTTTTTCCCTTTTCCACATAGGAAGAAGGTGCTGGATTTCTACCAGCGAGCCTGCCTGTCAGGGTACTGCTCTGCCTTTGCATACAAGCCGATGCACTGTGCCTTGTCCTCCCAGCTCAATGGCAAGTGCATCGAGCTGCTGCAGGTGCCGGGGCAGAGCGCGATCTTCACCTGCTGCGACCTCCCCGGGACCACTCCCATCAAACAGAGCAGCCGCAGGAACAGCTGGAGCTCAGATGGTATGTGAGCCTGCAACCAGGTCTGCTGCTGGCCCAGGGGCTGGATCTGATCAGTCTAGAGCTGTAAGAGCATTGTTATTTGGAGTAGCAGATGGAAATTTGGAAGGATGAGTTTCTGAATTTTTGGAGGAAGTAATGATGTGGCAGCTGGTAGGGGTATTTCTAGTTAAGTTATTGAAGCTTACAGAGAAATTCTTCTCCCTGTGGGAAGTCTGTTTCTAAAGTAGGTTACAGTGAGTCAAGACTTCTGGGTATTTCAGTACTTGTTTTGCTATTTGTCTGATTTTATGGAAATCATATGTGATGGGATTTTCAAAGGATTGAAATATATAGTGCTATGCAACTACTATTCTTGATAGATTTTGTTGCTGTACTGAAGGAACTGATTCCCACTAGATGAACGTGACATGTATATGTCCTTCAGAAAGCAATGGAAACTGAGAAAGAAGGACATACCATTACATAAATCCAGGAGGCTCCTTTGGAAAACCAGTCTTAACTTCTTTCTGCCTTGGTCTCCCATTCTGTAAAATGTGACTAGTGGGGTTTCCAACAGCTAGGAACAGTTGTGACTGTTTTAGAAATACTTTGAGTCCCACCTGTGGCAAACCTTCAACTGTATGAAGTGTTGTATTATTTTGTTCTTCATGCTGCATCCAGCTCCCACTCATCACAGACTGATGTGGTGATGGTGAAGGAACCCTGTCAAAGAGCCTTTGCAGGCTTTTTGGAAGTGTTTGCAGGGAACATGATTCAGTTCCTTTGCATCAGCCCCTCGTGCTCTGATGCCACTGTGCCTCAGCTAGACTTACCATGTTGTTTAGGCACAGTAGGATGTGTTTTAAATGCATGCATCCTTGACCTTTTTACCAAAATTCCTTGTGACTGATCCCTGCCTTCTGTTTTATCTTTTTCCTTTTCACGCTTGCTGTTTCCCACTTGTGTTCTTGGTCTCCTACGTGGGCATGTCCTGAAACCACTTCTGTGACTGGATATGCTGGGACAAATGGATGTCTCTTCATCTTTCCTCCTGTGTTTGCGTTCCTGCACATTTTTGTGTCTGGATACCATGTCCTTGGGTGTCACCTTGGTGGCCTCCTCACCACGTGTCCTTTGTCTGATGCACACGTGGCCCCTCATATCTCAATGGGACTGCGTGTTGTTTGCATGCCTGAAGAAGGGATTGGGGAAGTGATGGAGAAGGAAGACTGTATCCAGGCTCTGAGTGGACAGATCTTCATGGGAATGGTCTCATCTCAGTATCAGGCCCGCCTTGACATTGTCCGCCTCATTGATGGATTGGTCAATGCCTGCATTCGTTTTGTCTACTTCTCCCTGGAAGATGAGCTCAAAAGCAAGGTAAGCTGTCTTTGCTGAACCCCCTGACCTTGCATGGCCCCTGGTTGTCTGACTGGAGAGTTTAGCTTCAGTGCAATCTAAGGTTAATCTGATTCAGCACCCTAATGAGTCCAGAAGGTACCTGTGCTCCAGTATGGCATCAGTCTGCAGTGCTCTGGCCTGGGCAGCCACTCTAAAGCCCTTTGTCTGCTTACCCACAGGTGTTTGCTGAGAAAATGGGTCTAGAGACTGGCTGGAATTGCCACATATCCTTAACACCCAATGGTGATGTGCCTGGCTCAGAGATCCCCCCATCCAGCCCCAGCCATGCTGGCTCCCTGCACGATGACCTCCATCAGGGTGAGAACTGTGCCTTGGCCACTCTGGATGCCATGTGTTTCCTGGGTGGTTCTTTTAAACCCATTCATAGGTTCCTGTGTCCAAATCAGACACTTGATCTGTCAGAGCTTTGAGCACAAAACTCAGGATGGGCCTGGGGTGCATAAGTGACATCACTTTACATTTATAGCCTTTCTAGCCAGCCAGTATCAAGTTTTTGGAAACAGACATCCTTCTGTGCATCAACTGCCATGAATTTATGTGCTCATGAGTGCTTCTGGTTTTTGTTGGGGCCCTGGTCAAGCCACTGAAGATCCCTTGCCTGTGCATTACTCTTTGTTTTCTTACTTCAGCTGGGATTTCTTTATTCTCTTTCCCTAGAAGGACAGCAGAAGAGATAAAGTATCATGTCTCAAAAGAGCAGAGACTAGGCTTACATATCTACCTCTGAACAGATTAGTCATCTAAAAATACTGCATTTTATATGACTGAGTGGGAGATCTGAGTGTTGCTAGCCCAGAAAATCAGGCTTCACGTTTCCTGGCTTCTGCAGCGCCACGTGCATGTCCCACATGGGTGGCACAGGGGTGGCAGAGGCAGGTTTGTGATTGTTGTTTATGCTACTTCTCTCTGCTCCAGTTTCCCGAGATGATGTGGAGGGGCTTCTGCTGATGGAAGAGGAGGGGCACTCGGATCTCATCAGCTTCCAGCCAACAGACAGTGATATCCCCAGCTTCCTGGAGGACTGTAACAGGGTGAGGGCCTCTCTCCCTGTACACCTCCTGCTGTTGTCATGGGCAGGAGTGTCACCTCAGAGGAAATTCCTCTTCGAAGCAGATTGGTTTCCATTGGGACCCCTGATTTTTCTCACCCTCTTTGAGCCTGGTATCTAAAACCTGGGAAATTTGGGATTCTCTCAGTTGCTTTTGCTGAACAGCTCTTTGCTTTGGAGTTTAGGAGTGGAGGTTACCACACATGGGGTAACCTTGAGAGCTGCGTCTCAGTTCCTCTGGGTTTCATGGGCTGGGCAGGGAGTGGGAGCATCCCCACTTTCCATGCAGACAGAAGAAACACTCTCTCCTCCAGCTATGAGCCACAGCCTGGTGCTGCCCAGTGGTCACAGTGCATGACAAGCCCTTCCTGCTTCAGAAAGACCTCACACACATTCAGCAGAGGTTACATGAAGATCAGAGATACAGATAAAAAAAAAATCTTTTAGGCCTGGTTTTAGAAGGCAAGAACCCTTCTTGCCTTGCTGCAGGTTGATGTGGCTGCAATTGAAATAGATCCAGTTGCTAGAAGACTGCAGATGTGTCTGACTAGATTCTCCACACTGGCAAAAAGTCCTTAGAAATCCTTGAGAATAGGTTTGTCACACTGACCTTACAAACCCTGAGGACAAGTACAGGCAGCTTGGCAGGTCAGTGTAGAACTTTATCAGAAAACTTTTGGCAGTGGCTTGGGAAAGGCAGTTCTGTCTGCTGGAACATGAATTTGTGTCTGATCTTTGAGTTGCATAGTTCTAGGAATCATCATTCTCATTTCAGCAGTTCCCTCTGAAATGCCTCTCTCACACTCCCTGCTTAATCTGTCCTTTTTCAGGCCAAACTCCCCCGGGGGATCCACCAGGTGAGACCTCACCTCCAGAACATTGACAACGTGCCTTTGCTGGTGCCCCTGTTCACAGACTGCACCCCAGAGAGTAAGTGGCCTTTCCTATTCCTGTCCATGAATCCCTTCCCAGCTCCTTGGTGTGGCTCATCCAAGTGTGGACATGGGTGAAGGGAAGGGGATACCTTCCAGTAATGTAGAAGGGCATATTGATATTAATTACCCTCTGTTGCTACCTGTGGGGAGCCAGGTGTTAACTGAATTTTAGTGCAGCTGTTGTCCAGCTGCTGAGTTGGGCTGAGAACCACTCCTTTCAATGTGCATTCATAAGAGTCACAAAAGCAAACATCTAAAATGCTACTGTCTTTCATTAAATAAGTGTTATCAGTGTACCAGGAGACTTTGGTCTCTGCTCACAACTCTTCTATAACTCAGCAATCACTTCCCAGAAGAATTTTTCCTTGGCAGCTACTGTTAGCACCTTCTGCTGCTTTGCAGTTTTTGATTGCAGGAAACAGAAAGGACAACATTTCTCTCTCTCTGAGGTATTACTTAAAGAAAGGGGCTGAGTGCTCAACTGGCAAATAACTGCCAAATCTCCAGTAAGTGTGGAGCATCATTATGATTTGCCATTTTAGTACCTCTGGTCACAGTTTCCAGCATGTCAATCACAGTCCAGTCTGCCTTCATGTTTAAGTGTCCAAATTTCCTCTCTCTGACAGAAGTGACAGCTCCCCATTTGATCCAACCCCTCCCTGTGTCTTTGTGCACCGGGCATTTAATGAAGGTGTTTACAAGAGATTCTGCAGAGAGGAGGCTTGGGGTTTTTTTGCCTGGAGCATGCCTGGAAAATCCATGTATACACAGAGCACTGTGCATGGAGCTACAGAATTAAAATCAGATCAGACAGCAGCTTTGACTTAGAGGTCCCAGGGATGTCAATAAACATATTGGTAGGTAGAGGTGGTGGTGGGTGGGAGTGCAGGAACTGGGCTCTGAGTATGGCTAAATGTGGCACTACTTTTGCAGTGGTTTGTTACATTCCCTCCCTTCCATTAGACTTGCAACAACACTAGTGATGTGCTGCTGAGTTTGAAAAACTGTATTTATTTTCAGTTTGAATTATTTAGATTTATTTCATTTCTGCTGTTTCCTAACCAAGAGCATTTGATGCTGAAGCTGTTTTATGCACTCAGGCTATACCTTACAGCTCTGGTCTGAAAGAGGTGTGCTGGAAATGCAAATCTCTGGGTCATAGTTCTGTGAACCACAGATAATTCCTGCAGTGTCAGGTACCTAGAGCACCTAGTCTGCAGTTGATTAACTATCTAATTGTGTGCTTTGACTGTGGACCTCAATGTACACAGTCGTGAGTATCAGATGGGGCAGTTTTAAAGGATCTGTTTGTTATCCAGATTGGAAAGGGTGTGAAACACTGCATTTTTATGTGCATCATGATGTAACACATTATTGCTCCTTCTGTTCCTTTGCAGCCATGTGTGAGATGATTAAGATCATGCAAGAGTATGGGGAGGTGACCTGCTGTCTGGGAAGCTCTGCCAACCTTCGGAACAGCTGCCTCTTTCTGCAGAGTGATATCAGGTGGGGCAGGGTCTATTCCTCCTCCAGCTGACTTTGCCTTCATCTTAGCAAGTACCCAGCCATGGGTGACACCACACCTGTGGCTTCTGCAGGGAGGTGCTCACAATTGCTCTGTCCATTTTTAGCTGCATTTGTCTACAAGAGGGAGATTTGGGGGGATTGGATGGGGATGTCTGTTTAAGGCCCTTGACACAGAGGTATTTCCATGTCTGAAAGGAAGATAGCTCTCTTACATGCTGGACTGTTGTGCCCCAAATGCCATTACAGATGCTTCCCATTGGGTGAAAGATGGAAGCACCCATGGATCAGGCAATTTGTTGACCTTGTGCCACAAACCCAAATATGTTCATTATTTCTCTGTGAATAACTGAAACTCTAGGGAGATTGATCCTAATTTCATGTTATAGTTCAGGGCAATAAGAGAGCAAGTTATACAGAGCATGGTATAACACAGAGTGACCTTCCAAGCTGGACTGCAGTGAGACAGTTTCCTTTCTTGGATGAGGCCTTTCACTAGCACCCCTGTGTTGTCCTTGCAGTATAGCCCTGGACCCTCTCTACCCATCCCGCTGCTCCTGGGAGACCTTTGGCTATGCCACCAGCACCACTCTGAGCAATGGCTCTGAGGAGCTCACCCCGCTGCAGCTCTCAGGGCAGCTCAACAGCCTGCCCTGCTCCATGTCCTTCCGCCAAGAAGAGAGCACCAGCATCATCAGGCTCATAGAGCAGGTGAGCCAAGCAATCCCCTCTCCCCTCTGCAAGGAGCAGAGCCAGGAGCTCACACCAGCATTCTGCTTGAGGTGCCCACAGTGCTGCCAGCAGGAGCTTTGCTTGTGTCTCCTGGAATTTGTCCAGGAACCACAAGAGGGAAAAACTTCCTGCCTGGCCCTCCTGGTCCAAGGTGTAGGGAATGGATTGGAAATGGTGCTTTGTGGCAACAGAACGTGAATATTCATCTGGATGAAGTATAATTTTGAGAGATGCCTAGCCAGGCAACAATACAGTGTTAAGGAGGAGCATAACCCCAGAAAATCCAGGAATTTAAACAAACTTACCCCTTGGCTAAATCCTGCCTTTCCTTCAGAACCTCTTCATGTAGGCAAGAGACCTTCCCTTTTTGCTTTCAGTGTGTCCAGATCCTCTCCCCTCCCACTTCCCCTGCAGGCCACATGTTCTGCCCCTGCCTGCCAGTATCTGCTCTTGGCTGGCAGCTGCTCCCAGCAGGGCTCTCAGGGCTTGTGCTTCCTTCCAGGCCAGGCATGCAACCTATGGGATCCGCAAGTGTTTCCTCTTCCTGCTGCAGTGCCAGCTGACCTTGGTTGTCATTCAGGTGAGTCCTGGCCTGGCTGGGGACAGCGTTTAGCTCAGAGGACACGAGGGCTCACATGGATATGGGTGGCTGCAGTGGGGCAGCCTCGAGGGGGAAACATGGCCTTCAGTGAGGCTTACACAGTGTGTTTGGGGAAGTTATAGATGGAGACTTGGTGATCTCAGCCTGTGCTGCCCCCTCTCCCTGATCCTCATACATTTACCTTCAAATCCTTTCTTCCCTGGAGAATAGCATCCCCTGCAGTTCCTGCCACAGGAACATGTGGAGGGGCTGTGCAGTGGCAGCCCAGTTACTAGTTCATCCCAGGGTTTCAGGGAAGACAGCAGCGATTTGGGTAACAAGTCTGTCCTAGCACTGCTCATGCTCTTCACTCTGGGTTGTTTCTGTCCAGTTCCTCTCCTGCCTGGTGCAGCTGCCCCCCATCCTCAGTACCACAGACATTGTGTGGCTCTCCTGTTTCTGCTACCCACTGCTCAGGTGAGTCTGTCAGGGTGGAATCTCCTCCCACTCCCCACAGGATGCACAGAGCACTCCCTCAGCCTCACTGTGTCCATACTGAAAGAAAGCTGACTTCACCCACAGCATGCTGAGAAGTCTGCAAGAATTATTCCAAGCACCTGCTTTGACGAGGTGCTTTGAAACAGTGACAGGAGCATTTGTGTGCTGCTCTGTTAACCCCTGCCTTGTGTGATGGAAGGTCTGGGGTGTCAGGTAGAGGCCAAGATACCACAGGTGTTTTTTTTCTCCCTTATACATTTGGAAGTCACTTCTCTCTCTGTCTGCACCTGCCATGAATAACACCTTTTACTGCATATGTAAAGATAAGTGCCAATGCTTCAAGCAGTCTGAGTAGGTTATTTGGGTTCAAATGTTAGATAAAAGTACAATAGCTCTGGTGCCTGAACACATTACTGAGACACTTAACTTACCTTCCTCCAGTATCTCGCTCCTGGGCAAGCCTCCCCACAGCTCCATCATGACCATGGCAACAGGAAAAAACTTGACTTCCATTCCCAAGAAGGTAGGTGGCCCCTCAGATTTAAATTGTCCACACATTTTTCTCTTCAGTTTTGTCCCAGTGTTGATGCATAGCTGAGGCCCTGTGCCTTCCTAGCTCACTCAGTAAATTGATCCATGGCATGAGCCAGGGAGGGAATCTCCTGTTGCAGGATGCCCAGAGGGCAGATCCTCAGTGCAGCATCTCATCTGTACTACAGATTGTCTTTTGCAGCCACTGATTCTCTGATGGTCCATGGGGAGGAGGTTGTACCAATGACATACCCATGTCATCCTCCTTCCTCTCCCTTATTCACAGACTCAGCACTATTTCCTGCTCTGCTTCCTGCTGAAATTCAGCCTGACCATCTGCTCCTGCCTCATCTGCTTTGGGTTCACCCTGCATGAGTCCTGTAAAGGGGTGAACACGACCAGCCTCAACCTCACAGTCTGCTCCTCCATCATGCTGCACAGGTGAGGAGCTGGGCCTAGCACATACATCCCTACTGCTCCTGCCCTTTCCAAGGAGGACTGATTCCAGTCCTCTAACAAGCTTCAGCCTCTTCCATGACCCACCAGGGCTGTAGCCTTGACAGCTACATCATTGCCCACTGTCACCTCCTTGTACTAGGACAGCCTGAGCTCACACACAGATTCCTCAGCTGTTAAAGGAGGACATGGTCCTGGTGGGAACAGGTCAGTTAAGTGTCCACTGTTAACTTTCCTGTGTCCTTTCATTCACTAGTAATGCTTATGGTGCTCCTGACTGGTTTGGGACATTTTCCAATGCTCTCCTGGTAGCCCAGAAGCTCACAGCTGGCCTGATTGTTTTACACACAGGTAAGTCCGTGTTCCCAGAACCCCATTCCCTGCTCTGGGGAAAGGCTTGCATCCTCTGTCTCTTTCTTTGCCTCCGACGCCAGAGCACAAACTCCCTGATAGAAGAAGACACTGCAGTGGCTTCACAGCACAGGCACAGATCCCCCTGTCTCACTAAACATTACCCTGGCAGATTAAAGACAACACCCTCAGAAATGACTCTACTTCCTACCAGTCTGGTGAAGTGCTGGTTCTGTCCAGTCTCACTAGAAGAGCCAAATCCCTTTTGCCTTCTTGAAAGTTAGTAGCAGCATGTGATACTCTCCAAAAATATTCCCTGCTTCAAAAGTGGTTATATCCCTGCTGCTATTCTGCAAGGTACCCCATTGCCTTCCCACAAAGGGGACTGATGCAGCTGTGTTTGAGAGCTGGATGCCTTTTTAAACCCTGGGGAGGGTGGTGCCAGCTCCTGGCTGATCCTCATCACCTGCACCTTTTGCCTGTCAGGGTAGGTCTAGCATCTCCCTGACAACACTGAAGGGTCTCAGCTCCCTGTCTGTGATGTCCCATAGTACTGGGCAGAGCACTGTCTATTGAAATGTGCAGGTGTTCAGAAATGCTTCCTGATTTGGTCTCCATCTTTGGAGAGAGTGGGTTGTTGTACTTTTGTGTCTCTCAAACTACCGAGGCAAGGCAGGGGTGCTTTGCCTGGCAGGTGTTTGGAAGAGCCCAAATAAAAGCTGAGCAAGTGCTCGGTCCTGTACAGCCAGTGCTGGGTCTCTGGCTAAATCTCTGGGCTGGAGCTTTCCTCTGTTGCAGCCCTGGAACAAGGGCACACCCACCCCTGTCCCAGTCCCCAGACCTTTGCCTGCTCTGTTTTAGCTCCCAGGCTGTGAATCAACCTCACAGTTGAATCAGTGAATAATTGTGTGCAGTTCAACCACTGCACTACCCCAGCCTGCATTCCAGGGACTTGGAATTGCTGTGAGGATCCTGGTCTGAAAGACCTCTAAATGGTAGCCTGGTTCCAGGGACATGAATCCCATATCCCTTAGGAGTAACAGGTGTGGATGTACCCTGTAAAGTGCTGTATCTGTGTGTGATGCTAAGTAATCCCCTTTTCTCTGCAGTGTTCATATCCATCACCCATGTCCATCGCACCAAGCCCCTGTGGAAGAAGAGCCCCCTCTCCAACCGCTGGTGGACGCTCACTGTGGCTGTTGTGTGAGTACCCACAGCCCCTGGGAAGGTGTTCCAAGATGCTGGAGCAAGGAGGAGCTTGGGCCCACTCCAGCACCAGTGTCCTGGTGCTGAGGAGAATCAAGTACATGGCACTTGATCTCCATTGCTGAACGGGTGAAGGGTCTCTGTTGTGAGTGTTTAATTTGGGCCTGAACACCAATCTGCAGGTCCTGGGAAGCTTGTCAGGTGTGCTGAGATTTGCTGTGTCTGTTCTTAATCTTAGAGTGCTGGGGCAAGTGGCACAGACTGTGCTGGACCTGAAACTCTGGGAAAACCTCAACTCTTCTTTGACCTTTAACCACGTCTCCATCTCTCCAGTCGCATGGCTCCTGGGTTTTCTTTCCTTGGTCCTTGTGGTTATCATCAATGAGATTGTCAAGCTGCATGAAATCAGGTATGGGGGTTGTAGGAAAGATGGGGAGAAAGGCTGAAGCCTTCCTCTAGGCTGGCCTTGAGCTGCAAAAAATAATGATGCCCTGGGAACAGGGTGGGGAACAAAAAGGAAAAGCTGACTGCATTGTGTAAATCACCTGGCTGTTGTGTGCAGGCCCACGTTCCACCTCCCAGGGAGGAAGCGCAGGGGAGGAAGGAGGGTCAGAGAAGGGCAGTGGCAGTGATTGGGAGCAGGAAGGGAGAACAAAATTTCCTTATCTCAAAGCAGAGGGAGGGAGACAGCCAAGGTCTATGCAACACCACTATGAAACTGGGGAGGGCTGTTTTCTCCATCTTGTCCCATGAAGACAGAGAGGCATTGAATCACAGCAGAGGAAATGTGTCTTCACACAGAGCCTGGACTGTGGGACTCGTTTTCACGGGAAGTGGCTGAAGCCAAGAATGAGTAGCAGGCAAAGTGGCTGGCTGTTCTTCCCAGCACAGGGAACAGCCAGAGCTGGGAGTCAACACTAATGAACATTGATTCAGGAAATGGGCTGGGGAGGAAGAGCGGGGATTACAGGGAACACTGATGGGGATAGAGACACCACCTCAGTTCCTGTGAAGGGTTTCTGGACCTTTCTGTGCTGTGTCTGGTCCCTGGAGATGGGATTTAGCTGGATGGGGTAGGACTGAGACCATGGGTTGCTCTCTGGATTTGATTCCCCTCACAGGCTACCACAGGGTGCAAGCCAGGGGCTGCCCTGCTTCTTGGAGCTAGCATCTCAGGAATGGCAGTGGAACAGTCTTACCTTTCATCCCTCTGCATATTCTTTTTTTCTTCTTCTCCAGGGTCCGTGTCCGTTACCAAAAGAGGCAGAAGTTGCAGTTTGAAACCAAATTGGGGATGAATTCTCCATTTTAAAAGCACCCAGCTCAAGTTCTCTGGAGCCAGGGCCAAACAGCCACTGGGAGAGTGGCTGCACCAAAGGCTCAGGGAATTTTCCATCACACATGCAAACCAGACAGCCTCCTGGCAAAACTACATCTGCACCTTCCCGGGGCCCCAGGCAGGGATCCCCCCACAGGTATGCAGCCCCTTCCCAGCCTACCAGGTACCCTCACAGGAATCTGCCAGCTCTGATGCCTGTTCAGGCTGCTCTTCCTTTATTTATTTATTACTGGAGGTATTTGTTAGTATCATGGTGATGCTAAAATGAAGCAGCTCCTTTCCTCTTTGTGAACAGATGGGTTTCCTGGGCCTGGCAGGAGAAGCTGGGACCAGTAGGGCTGCTGAAGCAGGAGATCTCTATTGAAACCCGTTTTGGTTTTCCACTTCAGCCTGCTCTCCATGTGTGCATGCCCTCCCCGCCTCCCTGCCCTGTGTCTGGGCAAAGGAGCCATCCCTCTTGCAGTCCCCAGAGTGCTGGGAGCTCACATTCCCGAGGGGACAATGGGAAAGGGTCTCTGAACAGCCAGGCTGGGCCAGCCCTGCCCTCTAGTGTCGTTGTCACAGCCATGTGCTGGCTGTGTCAGAGGATGGATGAGACAGAGCTTTAGGAAAAGCTGCCTGTGATCCTCTGTTCCGGTGCAGAGGGAGGGCAGCTCTGCCTGCCTGCAGGGAGCCAGCATGGCTTGTCTTCCTGCAGCCCTGTTCAACCAGCTTTTATGTTCTTTACCAACCCGCAGAGAGGTGTTATAGCTGTTCTCCTGTTTGTGATCTGAACTGCTCTTCTGCTTCAGTAATGTGCCTACTTGAGAAAACCACAGCTCAAGATAAAGCCTGAACCCTGACTATCCTGCCTTGGAGGGGAAGGGATGTCTTTCCAGGCAGGATATCTACAACTTGCAGTTGTGCCTAATACAGAGCTGGTGAATGGCTTATTTCCCAATCCAGGATTGAGCTGCATCCAGTTCTTGCTCTCTAAGGCACAGGGAACCCCACCCAATCATGTCTGTCTGTGATAGTGCTGGGAAGTCTCTCCCCTCTGTGCTAACGGCTTCACACAGAACCACAGAATGGTTTGGGTTGGAAGGGGCCTTAAAGCTTATCTTGTTCCACCCCCTGCCATGGGCAGGGACACCTTCCTCTATCCCAGGGTGCTCCAAGCCCTGTCTAGCCTGACCTTTAACAATTACAGGGACGAGGCAGCCACAACCTCCCTGGGCAACATCTACTCTTTGTTTGCCTGGGGGGACCCTCCCCTGAGGGCTGTGGCAAACCATGATCTGCCCCAGGGCAGCACACAAGCTCCTGAGCTCTGACCAGACCCCATCTGTACTGAGAGCACTGGTCCTGTTGTGGGCTGACAGCCAAGGGCCACACAGGAGCACACAAGCTTGGCTACCAGAATATTTGGAGGTCATGGAGATGTTGACTCTAGTTCTAAACACTGACTAAAGCTGGTAAATCCTGGCTCTGTTTTTGGTCCCAACATTAACACTACAATATTTGGCTGTTACTTCCTCTTTGGTACCTGAGATTAACAAGTGGCAGCTGATCCCTCCTGGGCAGGCAGGGAGCTGGCTGGAACCACCAAGCTCTGCCCTGCTGCTCCACCTTGTCTTCCTCACTTTTCAGCATAACCAGAGAGCATGGACACGGCTGAGTGTCTCTAAGCAATACCCTCACCCTGCTGTGGGGCTGGTAGAGGAGCAGAGCTGGGTACAGCCAACCCCTGAGCTCTGGGGACACACTGAGGATGCTGGAGAGGGGCACCTGGGGGTGTTCCAAGCCCTGGCCCTAGTTCCTCCAGCTGGGGGCAGATGTGGAGATCCCATGCTGGCAGGATTGCACAGGATAGGGAGCCAGCAGCTCCCTGGTGAAGCACAGGGTTCCTCCCCAGCACCACAAGTGTCTGCCCACCTTTGCTAGCCAGGCTGGACTGGCTCACTCCCCTGGCACCTGCAGGGCTCAGGGAGAACAAGCTGCACCTTCCTCAGCCTCAGTTCACTAAATGCCAGCTCCAGATTCGTGACACCTGGCCCCTGAGAAGCCACTTTCCTTCCTGATACTGGGGTTGGATCACAAGTGGGATACGATCTCCTCTGTGGCCAAGCTGAGCTGGAGTCAGAGGCAGCACAGAGCTGCTCACTGCTGTCCCAGCTTTCCCCCCACCCACACCTCAGCTCTTGTCCTGTGCCATGAACTGTTGTAGGTGTTAAAAAGCAGCAGATTCCAGGGCTTCCTGCTGACCACACCTTCCTCTAGAGGAGGCACCTTCAGGGTTTCTTCCTCTGCGTGATCACAAATGTTTATTTTCTGCATCCTCCTTCCCCAGCTAGACTTGGAGGGAGCTAAAGTGTATGAATGGACCCTTTAGGATGGTCTTGCCAGTGCCGCCCTTCCCTCAGCTATTGAAGTGTCTAAGGGTCAGAGTGCATGGCTTCAGGAGGAAATTTCCTACATCAAGATGTTTTTAAATGCTGTATATTTTATATTAAATTTTTTGGGATGTATGTAAAAATATTTCATTTGTATTAAAACTTGTAAATTGTATAAAAAAGAAAAAAAAAAAGATACAAACCTAGACCCACAAGCATCCAGTATATGAATGGCAATAAATGATTGTCTTGGATAACACACCCAAGAGTTGGGAACGAGTTTGCACCCAGCAAAGGAAGGAGGTAAAAACGTCTGTGGCTGCTGGGGTCACAGGGTGTGATTTTCCTGTTGTACGAACACAGCCTGAGAGCTTGATGCTCCTGGGATCCAGTTCTGGCCTTTTTCCCAGTTTCTGCTCAGCTTTGGGTAAATCTGTCCATCTCTGAAAGCCTCTTCCTACGAAGTAAGTTTGCTTACCTGGTGGTTTCCTGGATCCCAGGCACTGCTTCAGTCGAGGCTGGAGGCACGGTTTGAATCCCTCTGGATGCGTGAAAGGTTGGGGTCAGCTGGAAGAGGCACTGGGAGCACTGGAGACAAGTAGTGGTGGGATAAGGAGGCTTGGGCTGCTTGTCCTGAGCAAAGCAGGCACTGGGCTAAGAGTGGCCACACTTTTAGCAGGCAGGAGGAAGGAGGAGTGCTCTGCCTGGCAAAGGGGGATGGTGGAGATGGGCAGAGCTGGGCACTGGGACAGTGGGACACCGGTATGGTCAGCACCTTGCTGTCGTGGTGGTGAGACTGAACATTATCACTGGAGGTGACCGGGACTCACCAGGGGAGAATATCTAAGAAACCCTGTAGCACTCAAGGGACAGGATAAAGCTGATCCTCAATGGACTTGAAGCAGTAGGAGACAAGTTTGTCTTATTTTACACAAAGGACACAACTAGGCAAAAGTATGAAAAGGGTAAAATATACCCCACTGTTTAATAGGATTTAGTCTTAATGGATGTTAGTGGAAAACAAAACACATGATTAACACAAACAGAGCAGATGGTTTAAAATCTGTTGTCAGTCTGGTGATTGCATGGGCTATTTTTTCCCCTCACTGTCTCGCTGCACGGAGCAGGTGCAGCTGGGGTCAGTTAGTCCCAGTTGCAGTGTACATAACTTACACACCATACAGTAGCTTCAAAATAGAGATCTAGAGCTCAAAAAATAAGCATTCTTCTGCAAAATCAAATGTTTAGTTCCCTTATTGACAATGAGAGCAGCGTTGTGCTGCCCTCAGGTGGCTCAGACAGCGGCAGCTCCACCCCAGTGTCCTCTTATCCCTGACCCAAGACTTGCAGTTCTGGTTAGTAAATATATAGAATAAATCACATTTAAAATATATACATTGGCCTTTAAAAAAAAAACATTTACAGTTTATCAACATTGAAAAAAAAACCCAAAACTTGGGCTTGTCCCAGGTTGACTCGTGAGATTAAAAATCAGTTTTAAAGGGTTCTTTGAACCTCTTTATAAAAAGTCACTGGTTGTAGCTATTTGAAATCATCATGTCCATGATGTGGCACTCAGCCACAGGCAGTGGATGTACTCAGTATGGGACAGAAATCACAGCCAGGGAAGAAGTGTCTTAGCTGCCTCACACTGACCTCAAGTCCCAGACAACAATGGGATTTTAGGTTTTTTCAGGGCTTGTTGTCTTTGCTTTTCAGTGCAGAAACCAGGCTGGCACCTCTTGCCTGCCCAGCCCTCATGAGCAGAGAGACCCTCAGGAATGTTCAGGTGGGCTTTGCTCCCCTTCCCATCCAACAGCACAAGGGGCTGCAAACAGTCCAATCCAGCTGCAAACTCCCAACAGGATTGGGAAGCAACAGCCTTCTCAGCCACCTTCTCCCCCTCCAGTTTGGATTTGCATTGGTGATTTTTCTTTTCTTTTTTTTTTTTTTAAGAAAAGGGAAATACATGGAATTTTCTTCCCCTTTGTTTGGAATTTTTGTAGCAAATGGCATTTCAGCACAATCTTCGGTTCCCTTCTGGTGCTCTGATGTTTTCATTTGCTTGGCATGCCGAGCGCGAGCCAAGTTCGGGGCTCTTGGACATATTTAGCCATGCACTACTGAGCAGATCCTGTGAGAGAAATCTGTCTGGGAGCGATGCAGAGAGCTCTCAGTGCTGTTCCCCTCTGCAGCCACGGGCTGTGGCCGGGCTGGATCGCGAGGGAGCTGCTCCTGAGCCGAATTCCCCGGAGCAGCCGGGGTCAGCTGCCCCGCTGGGCTGCGGAGCCACGGGGAAGGATCATGTCCCAAACACCGCTACTGATGAACAATGCTCACGGCAGGGTTTGTGCCACCAGCTCCCTGCAGGGAGGGGCACTGGGAAAAGGGACTGTTTTCTCCCCAAAAAAGGGGTAAGGGAGGAGAGAAAAGAATTTAAAAAGCATTAATCATGCTGCTGCTGCACTCTGGAAGGACCAGAGTGGGGGTTTGCGTAGGCACTGTGTTGGCAGAGGGCAAACGCCATTGAGCAGCATGATCCAGACGGACTGGCCCAAATTCCCAGGTTTTTGGCACTGCCATTACCATCCTCATCACTCTGGGAAGGGGCAGGAAGGCTCACACGTCCAGCACGGCCGTGGTGGAGCATCCGCTGCTCTGCAGGCTGTGCCAGCCCCATCTCGAGGGGTCTGTGGGTCCCACTGGAGGGATTTCCATCCACTTGGATTCCACGCTGCCCGATGCTGACGCGTTTGGAAAAGCGGCAAATAAAGCAGAAAGGTTCCTTCTCGCTCCACAAGCTGCCAAATTGCAACAAGCCCTGTCTTCTTTTAGCTGCTGTCAGGCCTGGCCGGGGCTGCGGCTGCACAGTGAATCGCCAGCTCCGCGGCTGCCCGGGGAGGTCTCTCCTGTGACACATTGTTGGCA